AGACCTGAAGAAGGGGTATTTGCGATCTTTTTGGTGTCTCAATACTTCACATCATTGTCATTATATTTTATTGTGTCGTATCTTATTTCAGACTGAGAAATTATCTTATGAATTCTCTGAGGACGTGTCCCTTTGTAGGAGAGACTAGAACTAGGGAACACAGTTTAAGCAGAAGAGATCTTGTGTTCCAAGCAGAGCTCAGGCTAATTTATTTCTCTGACGGACGTTTGTCTGTGGAATTCTCATCCCCAGAGAAGAGTAAAGGCTGAATCAATGAATTTTAGAGATTTTTTTGATAGACAAGTGAATAAGCAGTTAAAATGAGGGAGTAGACAGGAAAGCACTGACCGCATTGACAGGCAGAAAGGGTTTGAAGAGTCAAATGGCCCACTCCTGCTCGGAAGACCCATGTTCTGATGTGGCTGTATGAGGCAATTTCAGCACCACAGCAGGATTAAAGGAATCAACTGTCTGGATGGCGGATCCTTAGAAAGAGGTGATGCACTCTGCTCTATTAAGTTACAGAACTTGTATGTTGTTTAAAAAAGGTCAGGTGACTCTATTACAACTCCTTTTAAGTTATATTATTCCGTAAGACTTTGTTCTTAAGTTGGAGTTTTCATAATCTTTCATATAAAATATCTAAAACTGCATTACCTATGAGAGGTTAGTAATCTTTGAACACAATCACTTCAGAAACCAGTGTTATTATTTAAAAATAGACTGAGAGAAATCTATATCATTAGAAATACATGTATATATCCACAAGCAGATCATTGTAATATTGAAAAACACTCACTAATAATGTGATTAAGCATGTACTGAATGTTAGTGAATATATAAAATACAAATGTAGCCTCAAACAAATTCTTCGCATGCAAAGTCAATACTTTGTTTTTGGAGATAAGGCTTTATTCTCCACCTGATTTTATAATTTTGACATTGTCAGGATGAAGAAACATCATACTTAACACTGGCAGTTCCTGAAGTGATGAGTGAGTTTCATGCTATTTTTGTGTCAGTCAATGATCCACGTTGAGACCAAAGTTACTGCTGGCAATGCAAACTTCTCTGAACATATTCCTATGCCATTCCTTTTTGTGCAATTTTTAGGCAGGTGATAACTTTAAAAAAAGATCCATTAACTTTTTTTTATTGAATGATAAACAGAAGAACAATGTGAAAAAGTATGAATTATTTTTCAACTGAAACCAGCAGAAGTCATTCTAGTTTTAAGAGGATTATGATTTGAGAATTGTCACTTCTGCTGGAAAATAAGAAAGACCTATCCTTTGGAGAGTCAATAAAGCATGATACCTCCATTTTAATCAGCTGCAAATTGATTCCTGTTTATAACATGGAAACAAGACCCTGACAGTAGCTAAACATAGGACAAAATATAAATCAAGAAATAATAAGTAACATCTGTGGATAAAAAGCAGAATTAACATTTCAAGTCCAGTGCCCTTTCAAATTAACTTGTGTTTCTCTCTGCGCAGATGCTGTGAGACCTGCTGGGTTTCTGCAGCAATTTCTGTTTTTATTTCAGGTCTTTAGCATCCTTGGTTCATTGTTTTATTTTAGCCTATTAACATGTGTCCCTTAGAAACTCACCCGCTGTGATCAAGGATTAAGAGTGGCAAAATGGCACAGTGATTAGCTCTGCTGCCTCACAGCACTAAGAACCCTGGTTAAAGGTTGTTGAGGTTGGTTGGCTCGCCAAGCTGGTTTCGTGTTTCGCAGACATTTCGTTACTGTGCTTGGTAACATCCTCAGTGCAGCCTCCGATGAAGCATCGGTGTGTTTTCCCGCCTGGTTTTTAAACTCTGGAGTCCATTGAAATGGATTGCCTCACATCCGGTTTTCCTTCGTAGTGGAATGTATATGGGGTCGAGTTCAATGTGTTTATTAATAGCATGCTTCGTGGAGTGCCATGCTTCCAGGAATTCTTGTGCTTGTCTCTGCCTAGCCTGTCCCAGGATCTTGGTGTTGTACCAGTCAAAGTGGTAGTTCTCCTTGTCCATGTGGATTGAGATGAGTGAGTGTTAGTCGTGTCTTTTTGTAGCCAGTTGGTGTTCATGTACTCTTGTTGTTAGTTTCCTTCCTGTTTGTCCAATGTAGTGTTTCTCGCAGTCTCTGCAGGGGATCTTGTAGATGACATTGGTCCTGCCCATGTCGGGGAGTGAGTCTTTAGTTCGGGTGAGCAGTTGTCGTAGGGTTGATGTGGGTTTGTGCGCCACTCTGATGCCCAGCAGTCGTAGGAGTCTTGTGGTGAGTTCTGACGTGTTCCTGATGTAGGGTAGTGTGATGATTGTGTCGGGGCATGTAGTATCTTTCTGATGCTGTTCGTGCAGGCATATTCTGACCCAGTTCTTTCGACGTCATGGACGTCATGGTAGAGCGCAAGACAAATGGGAAACTGCAAATGAAAGTACACAGAAAAGCCACACACACACAGACCAGGTACTGAACTTCAACAGTAACCATCCCAGCACACACAAACAAAGCTGCGTGTGAACACTATTTAAAAAGGCAACAACACACTGCAGCAACACAGAACTACGCCAAGAGGAGGAGGAATACCTCTTCCAGGTTTTCAAGGATAATGGATATCCAAAGAACTGGGTCAGAAGATGCCTACACGAACAGCATCATAAAGATACTACACGCCCCGACACACTGATCACACTACCATACATCAGGAACACGTCGGAACTCACCGCTGGGCATCAGAGTGGCACACAAGCCCACATCAACCCTACGACAACTGCTCACCCGAACTAACGACCCACTCCCCGCCATGAACAGGACCAATGTCATCTACAAGATCCCCTGCAGAGACTGCGAGAAACACTACATGGGACAAACAGGAAGGAAACTAACAACAAGAGTACATGAACACCAACTGGCTACAAAAAGACACGACTAACACTCACTCATCTCAATCCACATGGACAAGGAGAACCACGACTTCGACTGGGACAACACCAAGATCCTGGGACAGGCTAGGCAGAGACAGGCACGCAAATTCCTAGAAGCATGGCACTCCACGAAGCAGGCTATTAATAAACACATTGAACTCGACCCCATATACATTCCACTACGGAGGAAACCCGGAAGTGAGGCAATCCATCTCAACGGACCCCAGAGTTTGAAAACCAGGCGGGAAAACACACCGACGCTCCATCAGAGGCTGCACTGAGGATGTTACCATGCACGGTAACGAAATGTCTGCGAAACACGAAACCAGCTTGGCGAGCCAACCAACCTCAACAACCTCAACACCCACAACTCGAGCTACAAATCTACTCCAAAACCTTAGACTCCTGGTTAAATTCTAGCCTTGGGCGACTGTCTGGAATGTGTACACTCTTCCTGTATGTGTGTGGGTTTCCACCACATGCTCTGGTTTTCTCCCATAGACCAGGCTTGGTGCAGACTCAATAGGCCAAATGGCCTCTTTCTGCACTGTAGATATTCTGTGATTCTAAGGATCATTTAATCTTGTTTCATCTTGAAATCAATTGTAGAGCCTCATCATTACCCTGTGTGAGAGAGGGTACCTTAGGGATCGAATGTAGGAACCATTGGCTCATGTGATTCTGCTGTATAATAGTTATCACCTTGCCAAGAGACCAATCTAGAGAGTGCCACATTTTTAAATTGCCTACAAAAAGATTTTGGTCCAATGGATACCTTGAACATTAGATGTACAGTAATAACTTCAAGATTGATTGGAAGTTCCTGGAATTGGAAATGTAATTGAAGTAGTGGCTTTAAAATGGGATTGGAAGATACTAATCATTGATCTGTTCATCAGCACTTTTGGAGAGGGTGAAGCACCTGCCACTTTTTGACTCTACTGCCTTCATAGGATAGAAAATATTGGAGGATGTACTATGTGGTGTGTTACATTAACAATAAAAACTGAAGAGATCCAGGAAAAGTAAGTTTTTAAAATTACTTTTGTGGGGTCAAATAAGAGTCGCAGGTCACACAAAAAGAATCCTGGTCTCTTCTGTCCTGGACTGCCCCCACAATCATAACACTCCTCCTAGACTTATCCCCTGGGCTGAGTCTAACAAATCTACACTCATATGCCCATTTGATAATCATCATCAGCGGTGCCATGCAAGCAAGGATGACTCTCTTCCACTCTCAGAGTGAGCTCATAGGTGGCTGTACAGACTGTTACAGCTACCACAGGCTCTGCTACATTTGGGACAGGTGGTGGTCACAGGAAGGGGTGTGTGGGGCATTGGCATGTCAGTGTGCTCCTTTCATTGTTTTCACCTGGCTTTCACTTTCTCCTGATGGCAACTCTTGAGGCGCTCAACGCCTTCCCAGATGCTCATCCTCCACTTTGGACGATCTTGGGCCGGTGATTCCCAGGTGTCTGTGGGAAAGCTGCACGTTGTCAGTGAGGCCTTGAGGGTATTCCTGAAGCACTTCTTCTCTCCACCTGGGGCTGGCCTGCCATTTCAGAGCTGGGAGTAGAGCAGCTGCTTAGGGACTGTCGTGTTGGTCATGCAATGTGCCCATCCCATTGTAGGTGGTCAAGGGTGGTCAGTGCCTGGGGATGTGGGCTTGGTCAAGGACGCTGGTGTTGATGCATCTTTCAATGAGGTTTTCAAATTATTCTGGACCCTTGGCCTGTGGAATGGGGTCACTGTGTCCACTAGCCATTCCCAAAGCAAAAGAATTGAACAATGCCTTTGTTAAATTAAAGGATTGTCCTCTGGCTTCGAGGGCTCTAAGTGGCAATGTTTAGCTGTGTAATACACTGGATGCTGTTTTACACAATCATCAAGATGTTTCACTCATAATAAATAAAAACATTGTATTAAAAAAAAAATTAGAAACCCCACTATGCCATTTCTAAAGATAAATTATCACGTGAAATTAGTTGTAATGTGAGCTGTAATGGAATGAAAATCTGGGAATGTAAACTTTAGCACAGCTTGTTCCTCTCAAATTCACAGAAGTACAATAAGCTTTCTTTAGTTCATAATCCTCATTGGCCTGATCATTAGTTGTGTGGATTTAAAAGAGTAGTAATTGCCTTTCCAAGTTTTCCAGAATATTCCCTTCTTCCGATCTGTTCTCCTATTGATTCTGGATCGAAGGTATTTCCCGTTTAAATTTGCTTCTCCACATGCGGAAAACCACCAGCCACCTATAAGGAGAAATGTTACAATGAAATTTCAATTTGCAGCACAATATTTCAAATACCAGCAATAAAAATATCTATCCATCCAAATATTTAGGAACAAGGGAATGTTTTTTGAATGGTAGTAGGCTGGGAGTGATTGTCATTCTCACGCTTGTCAAACCTCAAGGTTGGCCAACTGAGATTACTCAAAATTGTCATGAAGTCCACCTTCTCAATTCACTAGATTGTTAAGAAACACTAATCCTTTAACCTTTCCTCATCCACATTGCTTTAAGTGATTTCAGAAATGATGTAGTCTCACATTTGTAATATTTTCTGTGATAAATTCCCTTCACTCATTATCTGAAATATGAGACCATTCTGAATCTGGGAGTTGTGGGACTGTTCAGGGTAGTTTAATTTTTAACTTGATTGTAACTTGTAATAAAGTAAATCACTTAAAACAAGTTAGAAGATTGTAAATAAGAACAGCTATGTGAGGATGAGAAGTAATATGAATTCACTATCTCTTAATGTACGAAAGATCAAATTCTGGTTGTTAACATGATGCCACCAGTGTGGTAGCAGATGTTCTGCAAATTGTGCTACTCAGCACAAGTTAAATCATGAGGAAAGCATTGACTGGCATTTGATGTTTATTAACCAAATCTCAATTCTGAATAACCGTGCCATCCAACTTTTCAGATATTTTTCCCAACCAACCTGTTCATAGATGTTATTACACACCTCCGCAACAGGTGGGACTTGAACCCAGGCCTCCCAGTCTAGGGGTAGGGACTCTACCGTTGCACCACAAGAGTCAGTTATCCAAACTTTTTTTATAACTTAAACGTATTTTTCTAATTAATTTGTTCAGAGATGTTAGTTTGCATCTCTGGAGCAGGTGGGACTTGAACCTGGGCCTCCCCGTCCAGTGGTAGGGACATGACCATTGCAGCACAAGAACCCAGTCATTCAACTTGTTAACTGGTTAATTTAATAGCTTTCTGAACCACTAAAACAGTAAGAATGCAGATATTGAAACCTGTTATGCCCTGTACATACTGGAAGGCAGCACCGAATGTGAAAATGATTTAAACTGCTTTGAATTTAACTACTCCAGGCATTCACGAGTATAAAATGGAAGGCTCACAGGACTTTATTAAATTCTAGTAATTAGCTCTAAAAGCATTGTATGTAAATCAAAAACAGAAATTGCTGGAGAAACCCAGCAGGCCTTCCAGCATCTGTGGGGAGAGAAACAGAATTAATTAAACAGATCCATTATCTTACTTGATTCTGACCCATACTGGCCAGAAGGTCCACAGGTTCAATTCTTAAGAGTTTCAGTTAATGTGCTGAGTCCGGCGATTCTACATCACAGTTGCTATGTGTCAGTTCTGATGAGTGTAAGATGAGAAGCTTCACTTTGTCCCTGTTTAATATTGTTTAAATTACTCATGTCTCGGTTACGAGAGCGGAGTGGAATATTCTTGTATTAGTGATGTCTGATAGATGCACAATTACAACACCCAGAATAAATTACTTGAAACAATATTGCTTTTCTTTCACTGTTGCTGTATCAAGTCCTGGAACTTAAACCCACGATGCTGTTAGGCAATATTTGAACCTGAAGGACTAAAGCGGTTTGAGAGGGCAGCTCACTCTCACTTTCTTGAGGGCAATTCGGAAGGAGCAGAAGGTGCTGGCTTTAATGACATGCTCACATCCCATGACAGAATTTTTAAAAAAAACTTTTCAGAATTGAGCCTTCTGATCAGTATGGGTCGAAATCAAGTAAGATAATGGATGTACAGCTTGTAATGAATAGCACTATACCTGAATGTTGCTCAGCACAGTTTATATCAGTGTGAAGATCATTGTCTTGATCCTTGGTGGTAAAAGGAAGTGCCTTGCAGTCACTTATGGCTGATGACAAATCTCCTGTCAAAACCTGACCAATTATCAGGCTATACTCGTTGTCTTTGCCACTTATCATAAACGTATATTCAATAAACCGTGTCACGTTCTTCCAGTCCTCCAGCTCAATTCGCAAAACATACTTGTCCTGATGAGCAATTTGATAGAAACTTTCTAAACCTAGCCAGAATTCACCTGAGTAGAAAAGAGATCAGTTTGTTTAAAGGGTGCAGGTTATGCCTTAATGTCTCATTTTTGAGTGCAGATTTATTTTTAAATGCATGTAGGTCAAATACAAAGAGAAAGTGGGGGTGTGTTGAGAACAGCATTTTGGAAACTTGGAAAATCAGTCCCATTGGAAAGATTTATATGTGCAATGTTAACCTCAGTGTGAGCTTTATCAATATAGCTTTCTTGCTTGGATCTTGGATTTTGGTGTTTTACTAAAACTGAGATAAAATAGCAAAAGACAATTTTCTGCTTTTGTTTTAGAGCTTGCTATTGTGGATGCCCAGAGCTAAAAATCTGTGCATGGTACTGCAGATGATGACTATTTATTGTATTCAATATTGAAAAATATTGGAAGCAACAGAGTTGATAAATTGGGACAAAACCAAAATGCTACAGATATGGAAAATCCAAAGTAAAACAGAAAATTCTGGAAATACTCCATGTCAGGCAGCATCCATAGAAAGAAGCTGATTTATTGAAAATGATTTGGTTATTTGAAATTCACTTCATGTGAACTCAATTAATAAAACGTCCAGAAGGAACTGGAATGTAGCAGCGATAAGAAATCAAATGAAATTTTCTCTCTGTTGAATATTGAATGTGGTACAGGTGGAGTAACATTATAAGGTCCATGTTATGTTGGATTCTTACCATAGACATCCCCAAATCCTGCTTTATATTCTAACCAGGAGCGATCAAAATTCACAGAGCCATCAAATCGTCGTTGAATCACAGTCCAACCTGATTCTGCATGTGACAGAGAGAGAGAGAATTAATTAATTTGAGACAAGTTATTCTGTCATGACCTTTAACAGCAGCTCTTTGAAGGTGATGCTCATTAATATGGGCTTCAGAAGGAGCTGACAGTGAAATCCTCTGTGTTTTTGACTTTTGGAAGGACAATTAATCAATTAATGATGATTTCAAGCCCTGAACTATATACAGATTCTTTTGAAGAAATTTATTTTCAAACCAATCCTGTTCAGAGAAGATATTACACACCCCTGGAGCAGGGGACATCAAGCCAAATCTCCTGGCTCATTGCCACCACTACCACAGGAGCCCTCGGCATGCTTTTTAATTGTCCCATAAGAGATTTGCAACACATGTTGAGATCATGTACAGCTACTCGAAGCTTTTATGCAGCGGTTTCATGGATCCAGAATACCAACTAACCTGGAGTCATTCGGCAATATGTTTGCAATAGCTGGGCTCCTTTAGGCTGGATGCTGTAAACTCCACTAGTTTTTCCGCCCCTCTTGAAAATCTGATGACAATCAGCTGAAAGGTATGAAGAGCATGTTTCAGTTGTGATTAAATCACATCTGCTAACCAGCATTTACACTGAATCGACCAAAGCTTTTCAGGTGTAAAAGGATACCACCTCCTCCAAAGACAAATGAAGTAAAGACCTTCAATAGCATTACCATCACTAATAGCCCCACCAGCATCATCCTGGACCTACCAATGACCAGAAACTGAACTGGACTAGCCATGTAAATACTGTGACTACAAGAGTATTTTATAATGAGCCTCTTAAAAAGGATGCTGTCTGCTTGTTCACTCACTGAAGATTAATGATAGGCTGCTGTAGGTGAAGCTTCATTATAGATCAGTGCGTACGTTAAGGGATGTTCTCATGCTGGAGGTTTTTTTTTCAAATGAATTCATGGGATACTGACATTGTTGGCTGGTCAGCATCTATTACCCATCCCTAGTTGCACTTGAGAAGGTGTTTGTGAGTTGCCTTCTTGAACCACTGCAGTCTATTTGAGGTCAGTACACCACAATGCTGTTCAGGAAGGAGTTTAAGGATTTTGATCCAGTGACACTGAAGAAATAGCAATATATTGGGCGGCACGGTGGCTCAGTGGTTAGCACTGCTGCCTCAGAGCACCAGGGACCCAGGTTTGATCTATCCTCTGGCCTCTGTCTGTGTGGAGTTTGCACATTCTCCCTGTGTCTGCATGGATTTCCTCTGGGTGCTCCGGTTTCCTCCCACAGTCCAAAGATGTTCAGGTTAGGTGGATTGATCATTTTAATTGCCCATAATGGCCAGGGATGTGCAGGTTAGGTGTGTTAGCCACGGGAAATGCAGGGTTACAGGAACAGGGTAGGGAGATGGGTCTGGGTGGGATGCTGTTCGGAGGGTCGGTGTGGACTTGTTAGGCCAAATGGTCTATTTCCACACCGTTAGGGATTCTGTAGATAATTCCAAGTCAGGATGGTGAGTGGCTTGGAGGAAACTTATGGGTGGTGGCATTCCCATGTATTTGCTGCTCTTGTCCTTTTCGAGATTGTGATTTGGAAGGTGTTATCTAATAGCCGTGTTAAGTTTCTGCAGTACATCTTGAAGATGGTACATTTTGCTGCTACTATAGATCAGTGATGGGAGGAGTGGATGTGGTGTCAACTAAATGGGCTGCTTTGTGCTAGATGGTGTCAATCTTCTTGACAGGTTTTGGAGCTGCACACATCCAGCCAATTTGTAGAGTATTAAATCACACTCCTGATTTGTGCCTTGTAGATGTGGTCAGGCCTTGGGGAGTCAGGAGGTGAATTACTCACTGTAGGATTCCTACCCTCTGATCTGCTCTCATAGCCACAGTATTTATGTGGCTTGTCCAGTTCAGTTTCTAGTCAATAAAACAGAGAGATAGAGTTAACGTTTCATGTTCAACATGACACTTTTTCAGAAGGAACATTCATGTTTGAGAGTCACTGAAAGTTATTCTTGTATTGTAAATTCATTGATCCTACCCTAACCGCCTTTCTAAGGAATTTGGCTGTTTTCAAGCCTTGATGCTAAGCTGACAGCTGATAGCATTCAGATGTGCACAGGCCAATTGAACAACTATAAGTAAACTCATTACATTATTTGAGAATTGGCTAACCACCAATTAACTCATGTTTTGTTCACTTCGATTATGGTATATGATTATTTTTATTAATTTTTTACCCAAAGCGAAACCAGAAGAGAGAGAACGGCACTTTACTAGTCTAATTAATGACTGATTTCCAAACTCCGATAAAAGGTTAAACAACTGATCTCTTCAGTGCCATAATGATTCCATCACTGTGAGTTTATAAAGTGTATTTCTCATTTTCTTTGAACGGTTATACATTTAATTAGTTTGCAGGAAAATATTTCCCACAAGAGGTTGACAATAAATCTATTGTAACCCTTAGTCTCCAAATAAGTCTTCAACGTTTTAGTGAATCCTCTTAAGCCTCTATGAAATTCTTTCCATTTCTTGTGCTTTTGGCCCAGTCATCCTATTGGCTTTTTGTGGGTTGTATACTAGCAAATTCTTACTTTATTACAAATTAATTCAACGCTGAGCATGAATTTAAATCCAGATAATTAATGAGCTAAATGCTTTGAGATTTTCATTTCCTATGCTTTCTTCATACAATCAAACTGCATTTTCAGATAAACTTCTCCATTATGTTGTTATACCATCTTCCCTTGAGTTGCCAGGTTACTTGAGACCTTGTGATAATCCAGATACAGACAGCAGCTTGATACAGCACTGTGTTATGGACAATGTATTATTTTACTGCTAAACTGGAGTGTTGTGCAATCTGACCAGCTTTTTTAGAGATCTAACTGATGGTGACAATTGGAGGCTGAACATATTCTTAAATAAAGGATTATAAGTTCCCTGTAATTCTGCCATTGCATTTAAACACCCCAGTTGCTCCTTGCACAAGAAGGTAGAAAACGTCCAGGTTATTTTTTTTGATGTTTGATAATGGTCATGTGGATCATTTGGATCATATCCAGTCAGAATGATATATGTAGATCCAGCGTGTGCAAATGAACCTTAAAGCAAGCTCAACTGATAAGCTTAAATTGGCTGCTCTCCGTTCTCACACTTTAGAAATTGATGTTCCTTTTCACAATTTGGTTTCTTGTGTGTCAGCCCTGATGAGTGCAAAATGAAAAGCTTTCGCTTTTGTGTATCCTTTTAGTGATATTTAATATTCTTTCCACAATTGTATTTCTGTGATCAAGAGTTGTGTTGGAGCTCCACTGAATTGTTAAAAGTAGCTCTTTTCATTTTTCTCCTTCACACACAACGAACATTATGACCCCATTTCAGTGACTATCCACAATATATTTAGAACAGTCATAACTATCAGGAGGATTAAGATTTTAAAGGTGTACTCACTGTCAGATGAGGCTGGTTTTTGGATTTTCCACTGATCAGCAAGGTTATCATTTCCCTTCACATTCTTCTTGAAGTTGAAGTGTTCTCTGAGGCCAAAGGCTGAAACCTTCAGATGGAATAATAATGTAGTGGAATATTTCTTTATAAAGCATTTGTATTGGAGTCAATGCTTACAACGTATCACGCAAGCATTTAATGACATGCCTTTTATTGAAACTTAACAAGATTGAAATGCAATTAGGAGTCCTCCATTCCCGTCAAGGCAACCGATAATAGAAGGTTGGAGGGAAGGAACCAGACATAGAAACATTGAAGATAGGAGCAGAAGGAGGACATTCGGCCCTTCAAGCCTGCTCCCCCATTCTTCACGATCATGGCTGATTGTCCAACTCAATAGCCTAATCCTGCTTTCTCCCCATAACCTTTGATCCCATTCACCGCAAGTGCTATATCCAGTCGCCTCTTGAATGCATTCACTGTTTTGGCATCAACTACTTCCTGTGGTAATGAATTTCACAGGCTCACCACTCTTTGGGTGAAGAAATGTCTCCTCATTTCCGTCCTAAATGGTCTTCCCCAAATCCTCAGACTGTGATCCCCTGGTTCTGGACACATCCACTATCGGGAACATCCTCCCTGCATCTACCCTGTCCAGTCCTGTTAGAATTTTATAAGTCTCTATGAGATCCCCCCTCATTTGACTGAACTCCAGCGAAAACAACCCCAACCTAGTCAATCTCTCCTCATACGTCAGACCCGCCATCCCCAGAATCAGCCTGGTAAACCTTCGCTGCACTTCCTCCAGAGCAAAATCCGAGATTTTGTTTGTAGAGCATTTTCAGAAAGTCAGTAAATTCCAGACTTATGCCTTCAGGAACATTCCCTCTCATATTTCCTGCAGCTTTTCTGTACTTCATGTGTTTAATGGAGGCTTCAATTTCTGCCACACTCAGTGGGAGGCCAAGGTCATTTTTGATGGGAAGTTGGGGGATTTCCTCCAACATGTCCTTGTCGCTGATTGCATTGTGGTTTACGAGTTTCTTTGAAGTGTTCTCCCCTTCAGAGGCTCTCTGCATTTCAAAAGGGCTCCATCCTTACTCCATGCTTTCTCAGTTCACCACTGACTTTTGATTTCCCTAGTTCTTCTTTGTAACGCCACCTTTTCTGTTTGATGATTTCTCCTCTTTGCCTCACCAGTCATGCTGTTTTGGCATGGAAAGCGTTCCTCTTCTTGTTGATGAGATTTTGGATGATGTGGTCACTTTCGTCATGGCAGTCTTGGTGGTTCCTGTTCTTGTAGCTGATGGTTTCTTCACCATGTGAAATGATGGCAGACTTCAGCTTGTTCCAGATTTTATCCACTCCAATGAAATGAACAATTTGGAGATTTTAGTGAAGAGATTGTTCGATGTTTGCTTGTCTGCTCAGCATTTTTTTTCTGAATTGTTTCTTCCTCTTCAGTTGCTTCTGGTGACATTTGATGAATATTGAGGAATGGTGAGCTGTGGTCTATCCAGTAGTTGTCTGCACTGGTCATCGTTTTGGTTCATGAGGACACCCCTTTGGTTGAACGATAGTGTAGTCAAATATGTGCCAGTGCTTTGATTGTGGATGCCTCCAAGAAGTCTTGAACTTGTCTTCTTGGTGGAACAGTGTGTTGGTGATGGCCAGCTGATGTTTCACATATTTGGTGAACTGGAGAATCCTTTTGGATTTGCAATTCCCTTTATGTTGGTTCCTTTCCAGATTTGGGTGTCCTTTCCAATGCTGGCATTGAAGTCTCCAAGAAGAATAATTTTATCTTCCTCAGGGATGTTGGTGAGTATGGTATCCAGGGTGGAGTAGAAGCCTTCTTTGGAGTTGTCTATAACATTAAGCGTTGGAACATAGGCACTCACAACTGTTGCCTGCTGACTCGTGGCAATTTGTAGATGGAGAGTCATAAGGCAATTGTTGATGCAAACAGGGGGTTCCGAGAGTTGGTTGACAAATTCATGTTGACAGCAAATCCAATTCCATGCGTCCTGGGTTGATCTTTGGGTTTTCCTCTTCAGAAGAAGATGTAACCACCACCTTTTTCCCTCAGCTGTCCTTCACCTGCTATTCACAACAGGGTAGCTCCTGCTGAAGTGCCAGAGTTCGTGGGCAACATGGGCAGTTCCTCGTTCCAGATGATTGAATGCTCATTGTCCATTTCAGGAGCTGTGTTTGAGGTTGACTTTGGTTTTCAGAACGAAGTCCTTGACAGAAGATAGACCCAGTTCCTGTAACAAGGACATGTCGATGACAGGGTGATCTCCCTACTGCTGCAGCCTCCATCTACCATCACAGCTGTTGATATTACACGAACGTATTCTGCCTGGGTCACCGTTCAGGACTTGTTTTGGATTACGTTTTGAGGTGCTGCAGGTGGTAAAGAAGGCAAAAGCTATGTTGGCCTTCATTGTGAGAGGTTACAAGTGCAGGAGCAGGGATGTGTTGTTGCAGTTATGCAGGGCCTTGGTGAGACCACACCTGGAATATGGTGTGCAGTTTTGGTCTCCTTTTCTGAGGAAGGATGCTCTTGCTCTCAAGGGAGTGCAGTGAAGGTTTACCAGGCTGATTCCAGGGATGGCAAGTCCAAACAACTTCCTCCTGCTCCTATCTTCTTGTTTCTATGTTTCCCTTCCACAAACATTCACTGTTATAATTGTGTGAAATGCCTTTTGTGAAAATTGTGTTGTGTTAGCATATGTAATTGTTCATCAAAGGCACAAGAGTGCACTGACAGTACAACTCTAAGGAAGGGTAGTGTACTAACCTTGTTTACCAACAGTTGAATCTGCATATTTTGTTCATCAATCTGTTGCTGCTGGGCCTTCGTCAGTGCCAGAATTTCATCCACATGCTGTTTTTGAAGCTCAATCACAGACTGGAAAGTTAAATTAAATTATTGATATAACTAGATAATAGCTGGATTGACAATAGGCATTTTTCCATGATGACAGCAGAGGTTTAGTTTCAAAATTTCAATGTAACATACAGTTTTACTCACCTCACTGAGGTATGCTGGTGTACACTGTCGATAGCAGCAATTGAGCTATAACACTTCTGAAGAAGGGTCCTGACCCAAAACGTCAACTTTCCTGCTCCTCTGAAGCTGCCTGGCCCGCTGTGTTCATCCAGCTCCACACTGTGTTATCTCTGACTCCAGCATCGGCAGTTCTTACTATCTCTGAGTGACTATAACGTTTGTACTGTTTGAGTAAGGTGGAGTGAACTGATTCATTTCCTTGTCCCATTCTTCCACTTGTCACAACAAAGTTTGAATTTAAATTTGGCCAGTTATATTTGCAACAGATTGTATATAGCTGAGGATCAAAAACAAGCCAACCAAGTTCCTTAAGTAGCAAATAAAGAACTAGGTTGTTGCAAACTAAAATCACTTGAGCAAAAGTTGTAATGGCAATTAACATAATGTTTACACAATGATGCTTCTTGAAAACAGATACACACTACACTGACTCATGCACACAGGCACACACAGTCTGCAGAGAAAACCCTATCGAGTGTAGTTACCTTAAAACTACACTGCCTAAGTAACAGATGAATTCACAAAAGTAAGTTATAAATGAATTGTCCCAAATGCTGGTCTGGAGCTGAAGTCACTTTCTTCACAAGCTAGCACTTGGATTTCTTCCTGGATCAGTTATGGCTGGTTGAAGTTTTCTTTTTATCTGGGGAGAGCAGTGTTGATTCAGAATACTCCCTCAACTCTGTACTTACGATGAGGATCTCCAGTAGAGTTTCAACTCTCAGACTTTGGTTAGAGGGGTTTCAGAGTGAGAGAGAGGTGGACAATGGCTGTTTCTCCAGAGGCGGGATTTCTCCGACTGCCTGTCTGTGTTCATAGCGAATGGCTTTATCTTACCCACAAACCAGTCATGTGACCTCTCAGAAAGTTTTGTACACTCAGTGATTTGAGTCAAGCAGCTGGTGTTCTTTGCAAATGCAACACTTTTCCCTGTTGCAGCCGATTTCCTTTGCTTTGTAAAACGTTTGTTCCAAAATGTCCACAATATGGGCATTGTCCAATCAATGATATTCTGAATTAATCTTTCAGATAAGACATCTTTATGACATATTATATAAGGCTGTGGCATGGCCAAGTAGTAGTAGATAGAAATAACCTTTTCCCCTCGGTAGAGGGATCCATGATCAGGGACCATGGATTTAAGATAAGAGACAGAAGGTTCAAGGAGATGTGAGGAAAATGTTTTTTAGCCAGAGGTGATGGGAATCTGGGATTCACTGTTTGGGAGGGTGGTAGAGACGGAAAGCATCAAAACATTTAAGAAATATTTAGATGTGCACTTGCAATGCCAAGGCATATTAGGCAATGTGCTAAGTGCTGGAAAATGGGATTAGAATAGTGAGATGGTTGTTTTTGACCAGTACAGACATGATGGGCTGAAGGACCTTTTTCTGTGCCGTAGACCTCTATGATTCTATGACTCTAAAGGCAATTATTACACTGAAAAAAATCAATAATACTTTTCTTCTACCCCACCTCAGCAAACTGGAATGTTTAACTTTAGAACTTTTTGAAAGGTTTTGCTATATGTGTAACTACCTTTTAGACAGTAACACCATTTTGACCTGGAGGAGCAGCTCAGTAAGAGCACGCTCTGTGCAAACCTCAAGTTTGCAATATCAACAAGGACAGCTAATCAATTTCCTGCACACTGTTTTGGGCATCTTACAGTTTTCCAACTGAAAACAATCACTGAAAGTCCTGTGCATACAAACATGCAAATTAGAAGCAGGAGTCAGTCACTCAGTTCCTGAAGCCTTTGTTATGGACCAGACCAAACCCCCTTCAAAGGTGTCAAGGAGATAGCCTAGACCCTAACTTTTTCTTATTTGAAGGCAAGTGTTAGGTGCTGTGTTACAAATGTAATTTGATTGGTTAAACTACTCGGCTTTAAGTAAAACACACTTTATTCTTACTCTACAGTTAAAATACAAATGAAAAAAGAATTGGTCTAATTTTAACTCTATTGGAAAACTTAACAGAATAATGGATTATTCAACTACTAAACAGCAACTCGTCCAATATTGTAATAGCCCATAAACACACCCTTGGCAAAGACAAATTCAGTAAAATAGATTCACATGCAATGTTTCTCCAGTCTTGGAGAAAAGAATATCAAGAGGAAACTCTGGTAGAGAGAGACAACTCCAGTGTTTTGCTAGAAGAGAGAAATGTATGGCAGCTTCGAAACCCCAAAACTACTGAAAGCTAAACTAAAACCCTTGTTCTGTGGGAGCCTGACTACAGCCATTCAGGCTGCTTCTATTGTTCTAAATTTAAAATATAAACACCCAAGGCCTCATAAGCTGTTTACTTTATTGGCTTGGGACAGACCATTAACCACCTCTATCTCAATGTCTCTTCATTTAAAAAAAAAGCCAGGACAAAACATGCCTCTTAAAGCCGCAGTATTGTCACACCATTCATTAAGATCATGGTTGAGCTGATTGCTCCATATTCCCACCTATGTCTAATAACCTTTCATCCTCTTACTTACCAACAATCTATCTATGCCTGCCATAAAAAATACTCAAAGACTTTGCTTTCACTGCCTTTTGAGGAAGAGAGTTCCAAAGACTCGTGACCCCTTGTGAGAAAAAAAAATCTGTTCATCCCTTTCTTAAATACGTGACTCCTTATTTTTAAACTCTGACACGTATTTCCAGAATCTCAGACAAGAAGAACCATCCTTTCTGCAATGATTGAGAGATGGCTCTGAGGAAGCTGAATCTCCTCATGTAAATAAAGGGTGACTCAGTGACAGGATACTGGCCTCTGTGGAGTTATTTCATTTTCCACATCCATCCTGTCAGTGCGCCTCAGGATCTTGTATGTTTCAAACAAGTCACCCCTTAGTCTTCTAAACTCCAGCAGATACAAGCATAGCCTGTCTTACATTTCCTCATAAGACAACCTATTCACTCCAGATGTTAGTCAAATTGACCTTCTCTAAACTGCTCCCAATTCTTTTCCATTCTTCTCTAAATAAGGAGACCAATATTATACAAGGTACTCCAAATGTAGTCTTACTAATGCCCTGCACAACTGAAACATGTTCTACCTGCTTTTGTAATCAATTCCCTTCACAATGAGCCATAAAATTCTATTATATTTCCTAACTGCTTGCATACTTAATTACTAGCCTTCTGTCATTCATGCATCACAACTCCAAGGTCCCTCTCAGCTCAGAGCTCTGCAATCTTGTCTCATTTAGATAGTAATTCTTTTTAATTCTTCCTGCCAAAATGGATCATTTCACTTTCCCGCAGTATACTTCATTTGCTAGAACATTGCCCACACACCTTACCTATCTATTTTCTTCCCTTTGTAGCCTCCTATCCCCTCGTCACAAGTAACAATCTTTGTGTGATCAGCATTCTGAACATTCCATCCCTTCATCCTAGCATTTGCTGTGTATAAATTGCAAAATGTTAAGGTCCTCCCACCGATCCTATATCATATCAATTGTTACTTCTTGCCAATGAGAAAATGACCCATTTATGCCGCCCTTCTGCTTGCTGTTAGCTAGTTAACCTTCTATCTCTGTCAACATGCCGATTCTACCCCAACAACATGAACTCTTATTCTCCATCATAAGTTTTGATGTAGCATCTCACCTAATGTCTTCTGGAAATTGAAGGACAGATATATCACTGGTTTACCTTTATCCACAGCACATATTACTACTTCAGAAAACAACAAAGAATGGTTAAATGTGATCTCCCTTGCCCAAAATTATGTAGAGTTTGTCTGATTACCTTGAACTTTCTAAGTATCCTATTATAACTTCTTCAAAAATAGCTTTGAGCATCTTCCTTTGACACATGTTAAGCTAACTGACCCTCAGTGTCCCACTTTCAGTTTCATTATTGAATAAAGGAGATAAATCTGTTATTCTCCAACCTAATGAAATTTTCCATGAATCAAGGTTAATTTTGCCCTCGTTCTCCTCAATACTGCTGTCAGTATCCCATGAAGCAAAACCCATTTCTCCCATAACAGTCTCTGAGCCAAGCATTTAACTTTCTGACCTTGTTTTCTAGCTCAGCTAGTAATCCAGCAAATCAAGTGTACATCAGTCACTGGATGGTATTTCATGACCAGGCAAGCAAAAAAGACCCTAGAGCAATTAGTGAACAAATATTGTATTGTGGTGTGAAGGAAGGCAGGCAAAGTAAAATTTTAAAGTGCAATGCATCTTCCTCCCTGCCAATTACTGCCCAATCTGCTGCCACATTCTCATTCTCTATAACTCTCTTTCTCTCTCTGTCCACTCTCCGAATCCAATTAATCACATTCTTATCCTGCTTGATTCCAATAGTTTGCTTTGTCTTAACTCTCCATGTGCAATGCAGAGAAAGTAAGCCAGTGAAGATTAACATTCACATTGCAATGTGCGCATTTAGCAAAACAGCAGCATTAACTAAGAGAAAATGATAAAGTTGATGCGGATGTCTTTGTAGGTACTGTGCATTTTCTAATTCATTCAAGGGATATGGAGATTGCTGAAATTTATTGGTCATCCCTATTTATCTTAAATGAGAAGTTTGTTAAACCATGTCAGAGGGCAGGTTATAGTTTGCCACATATACCGAAAAGGCTGTATAAGCTTAGCAGATTCCCTTCCCAATGGGCTTTAATGGACCTAAGGCCATTTACAACAAGCTGATATTTACATGGGAACCATTACCCATACCACCATTTTTTTATCCGAGATTTATTTCATATTTGAAATGTCTCTGGTTGGATTTAGACTCATTGACTTCTTCCTTGGCTTCTAAAGTGGAGTCACTGAACCCAAAACATTAACTCTGTTTCTCTCTCTACAGATGCTGCTGAGTTTCTCGAGCAATTTCTGTTTTTGTTTCAGATTTCCAGTATCCGCAGTTCTTTGTTTTATTGTTATTACAGGTGTTTGGATTAAGACTTGAATAATAGGACAACTATTGCTACCATTCCTCATTATCAAATGGCCAGTGTGTGTATCAGGTTGATAACTCAGAGCCTATTATATCCACATTATTCTGAGATGTCTAAGATATTTGGAATATATCTGATCAGATTGTTTATGATATTCAACAACATATGTAAATAGTTTAAAAATAGCTGTATGTTCTGTCAGTGAACAAGCACTTTACAGCCTTATGTCATTTCTTTTATTTTTTATGTTAGTAGATGCTTTAATTGGTATTTTCAGGTGAATTTGAACTTGTATCAGTCGGCAGCATTTTCCCACTAACATTGCTATTTATAATCCTCTAGTCTTACATCCAATTGATGAGTATGGTCAGTTTGCACTGTAAAAGTTGTGGGTAGATTCTGTTATAAATACCATGGAGAGATTGCATTAGAAATGAAAGCAGAAATTATTCTGGACCTACACTCTGTGTGTTGAGTTGTCTGACAACAGTGATTGTCAGAGAACTAGAATAAAAACAGAAATTGCTTTAGAGAAACTCTTTCAGATCTTTTGTTTTATTACATCATAGAGCTGGATTTGTTCAAGCGTTTACCGGTTAGTTTTAAAAAAACCTTAATTTCTAGCTGTTATTTAAATTAAAACAGAAGACTAAAATACTTCCTTTCTAATCATATGCTCCAACATGCCTAATTTTCTGCTATTTGTTGTATGCAATCTAGCATTGGACACACCTAGGAGAAGATTCAGGATAATTCCATCGTGTGATAGCAAATATGTTGCAGATTACTATAAATTATTTAAAATGTAAACAAAAATCCCTTTGACTAGTCTGAAAATCCTATCCTCAATATGTGCCTGCAGTGATATTTTATGACTCTGGATACCGCATTGGAATAATTGCTATGAGCAAGTTACTCTGATCTCCAGCGGCTTGAGGTAGTTTGAAATGCCTGTGTTAAATATTATTGAATATTGTCAGTCATAAATCTATAAAATTATTAAACTGTACAAGAAGCACTACCTCTTTTTACATTTTATTCTGCTTTAAGATGTGCTGGCTTACCCTGTAAAACAGGATGTCTGCAGACTTGTTTTTCTCGAGAGTTCCTAGAATCTGCTCCAGCTTTCCTTCCAGGGAATCTACCTTGCTGGTAACTGACTGCTGGTCCTGTACTGCTTTCATTTGCTCACTTCTGAGCTCCATAAATCTTTTATGAAGGTCCTCATCCTGAATTTCCAGCTTCTCAGCCTTGCTCGTTAATGCCCTTCTGTCACTTTCTATAAGCCTGACCTGACTACCCAGGTTCACAATGGAGTTTTTGTAAGTATCCAGCTGGTCTGACACAGCAGTCATCTCTTCCTTCATTTTGTCCGTGTGCTCCTTCAGTCCTTTGCCGACCAGGTAAAGACCGTGAGCGAGTAGGCTAATATCACTGGATGAGGCAAATTGAGTTTTCTCTCTTCTGTGAGTGTTTCCCGGAAGACTTGATGTGGAACAAATAAGACCAATTACCATGATGAAGTGAAATGTCTTCATTATTGAAAGACAAGTTATTTTAATTTTATCATTTGTTTTCTCCACTCTTCGTACAGACACTATGTTATTCCTTCTGTTTCAGAACAGAGGCTGTGCTCTTTTATATCAGGTTGCGGAGTCCTCCCAGTTCTACTTGTTTTTAATAATAAATAATTAAACTCAGTGGGAACCAAAGTGTCATTGTGAAAACCACAGCAATGCAGTGGCTCCTGTTAAGTGGCTGTCTCCAAAATATGTTTCTGTCTAGCTTGTTCACAGTATAAACTGAAGACTTTTCTCACCATTTTAACTTATCCAGAGAGTGTTTTTGTTTACTAACAGTGATGCTGGAGCATTTTTCTCATGTGATTTATCCAGTCCATTGTGGTTTAATCAAGGCGAGGGAAATCAATGAACTGGTGCACCTTCTGTGGCAAATAAACAGAGTTTGTATTGACTCTCCCAGGCTAGGTGCAACGCAAATAGATGTGTTAAACAATCTACCTCATTTGCAGCTTCAGAAGAGCCCTAACTTTATTGATGTTTGCAATGCCTTCAATTCTCCTGATTCTCTGAATGAGAAATTCATGCAAAGTGGAATTAAATTAGTCCCTGGTTTATGCTGTTGATACCTATTTATTGGCAACTGAATTGAAGTTATCTAAACTTGTTTTACATAGGACTCTTACAGGAAATAGAAAAAAGGAATTTCATTTATTGATCTACAGTCAATTTAAACAGATGTTTACTATGCTAAGGCAATCTCCCCATTGAATGCATATTTGGAACAATTTTGTTGCATAACCATCCTGAGTAGTAATAAAGGAAAAAGGCACAAGAATGGTGTGCTCGTGGGGAGGCAGATGACGAAGCAAGAGGTACATGGCTAAGCCAGGAGCAGCTTGGAAATTGGAAGAGATTGCATGGTAGCTGGTGGAATGGAATGTATGAAGGAGGGTTAGGTATGAACCTGCTATTACATTGAATGGTCTCAGCCATCTCTGGCCAAGATCTCCACACTGAGTGTCCTGGTAGTGATAGCTCTATCTCCTTCATTGCAGTGAGAGCTGTTCCTCCATCTTCACTGAGCTAAAATCCTGAAGCTCCTTAACATTACTCCAGGTGTACTTGTACAAGATGGACTGCAGTGTTTCAAGAAAATGGTACATCACCAACTTCTTAAATGCAGTTAGAAATAGGCAATAAATAGTGACCTTGTCAGTGATGCCCACAAACCGTGAATTATGGTAAAAAAAATAGTAAACTGTGATGTTGAATCAGTTGGCATATGCTGATAATAAAATCACACCAGGAGAGCCAACTGATTACTTAAAGGTTCAGGCAGATTGCCAGGAATTAGACACATTACCAAATTAGACAAAACAGCTCATATTCCCATTCAACCATTACCTCATTAGTCACAATATTTGTTTGTAGTACTTCAAGCACAAACCAAAGCTAAGAGGATTTATTAATGCTTAGGACCATAGGACAGGAACAGGCCATTCAGCCCTTTGAGCCCATTCCACCTTTCAATGAGGTTATGGCTGATCTATGGCCTCACTCCATAACCTGCCTTTAGCCCATATCCCTTAATACCTTGTGTTTAACAAAAAAAATCTCTCTCAGATTTAAAATTAACAATTAATCCAGCATCCACTGCCATTTGTGGTAAAGAGTTCCAAACCTGTTTCATATCACAGAACTGTTTATTATTAGAAGTGAAGAGAGAATCTTAACAGAGGTACCGATGATATTAAAAAGTTATAACAGTTGATATAATAGCAAATCTCCAATCCCATTCTTTGGGGTAAAAGGCCTTTGCCATATTTCTTTACAGGATGTCCCTGTTGCTGTCTTCCATGTCTAAAAACATTGGCTCCATATTATGAGACAACAAGGTGCAGGGCTGGATGAACACAGCAGGCCAAGCAGCATCATAGGGGCAGAGAGGCTGACGTTTCGGGCCTAGACCCTTCACCGAAACGTCAGCCTCTCTGCTCCTATGA